TTCCTTATTATCTTTTTTAGGGTTTCATCTCATTCTATAGTTTTGGTTCAGCTCCAGTTCTGCTTCACTGTTTATGGATCAAAAGAGCCCATAAAGAGAAGAACGGAGTGGTACAATCAGTTCTTTGGCTGATAGACGCTGATAGAACACAGTAATTCCCAGGTTGTTATTGGACCTGGGATTTTTTTACTGCTTTTTAAAGTGTTTTTGCTGCTTTTCAATAGAACCGAAGTAACAACACTGTTATATCCGGATGGTTTTAGGTTACCGTACATTTTTGAATGGAGAATAGTAAACAGTAAACGTTCTATATGTTCTACAACGACAATTAAACTGGCTGTTTAGACAACATACAGTAAAATAGGAATTAAAAGCCCTTTATCTCTTTCTCTCCATCCTCTATTACTGTTATCTGTACATCTGCTGTGATAATGAAGCGCTCGGTTACAACCGCTTCACACATAGTGCCCAGTGTAAAGTATTCCAGCATCTCCTTTTATCTGACCGCCAGATATTTATTGTCCTGGTTATTGATTAAACTAACGGAGGAGCTCCTCCAGTCCGGCGTTAGACCTACAGGCCTACTGTTTGATTAGTAATTGTGTTTAAATCATCACTATTGTGAATGAAACCTCAGATAATCAGTCGAAATCTGGATTCTTTCACATTTCTTCACTATATGGAGAAAATACAGCACATCATGCTGGTTTTCCTCGACACAGTGCTGTTCCCCAACTACTGAAAGCTGCTCTAGTCGACGATTAGACCTTTGGAGAGGTTTGCAGTTCAGCTGTGACCTGATTGGCTGGATTTGTGAAGTCCAAAGACTCAATAATTGAATACATAATTCCTGATAACAGTATCATTGAATGTATCTGCAGTGCTGAGAGCCAATCGACCATTCACAGACTTATTAACTGTTCCAGGAGGTCAACATACAGTGGAGTAGAGATTTGATCCCAGTGGAAAAATCCTCAAAGCCTTTTCTCAGACAAACGTAGCAGCTCTTCTGCACCGGAATGTTGTTTTGTATTCAATGTTTACTGAACCTACAGTAACAAAAACCTTAATATTATTTCAATTCTTACAATAAATGATCAGACGTGGCTCTGAATGAGGTGCTTTTGTTCAAAATGTGGTTCCATACACCACTCTCTGAGCAGAAAAGGGTTCCACACAGTACCAAAAAAGGGTTCTTGTAGTTGTAGCAGTAGTCAAACCTTTTTTGGTGGTAAACACTCTTAAAAAGATGGTTCTTTAAGGGTTCTTTAGTAAAGGCAAAGGTTCTATATCGAACCATGAACACTCAAAGAACCATTTGCTGTTCTTTGCATGAAGGTTCTTCAGATTGCTGGAGAATGTGTTGTATATGGTTCTATATAGTTATGATGTCAAGTTTGTAGAACCCTTTTTGGTGCTGTGTAGAATCATATAATAAAAAACACAACCTTTATCAATCTGAAGAACAATTTTACAGTGGAAAGAACACTTTAAACCTGCAAATGGTTCTTTGAGTGCTCATGGTTCCATATAGAACCATTGTCTTTACTGAAGAACCCTTGAAGAACCATCTTCTTTAAGAATGTACCAGTTTTAAAACTTTGCATGATTAAAGGGTTCTTTGCATCATGAAATGGTTCTTCAGATTGATGAAGAATATGCTGTAGGTGGTTCTATGAAGAACCTTTTTGAAAAGCGTTCTATATAGCACCAGAAAGTGTTCTGCTATTGTTACGATATCAATCTTGTTACAATAAAAGAACCCTTTTTGGTGCTATATAGAATTCTTTTCAAAAAGGTTCTATATAGAACCATCTACAGCACATTCTTCATCAATTTGAAGAACCATTTCACCATTGCTAATGGTAATGCTTTCAGTGCTCATAGTTCAAAATAGAACCATTGCCTTTACTAAAGAACCCTTGAAGAACCATTTTTTAAAGAGTGTACCAGTTTTAAAAGGTTCTTTAAAGAAAACCCTCTATAACGGTTCCTCCATAATAACCATTTGAGTTGTCATGGTTCTTCGAAACCTTTATTAAAGAACCTATGAAGAACTGACTGTTCAAAAGTTTTGAACCAATGTTTTGAATAATATAAAAGCAGATATTCCAGTATAAAAGTCCTGAAGCTGTAAAATTAAATAAATCAAATGTAGAAATGTGAGATGTGTCCAGAACGATGAACAGAGCTATAGAAGATTCTAAAATGACCACATGAACTTAAAAAATTATCCATAATGCCTTATTTTTCTGAAGTGATAATCACATCTCAAGGCAGATATGATGAAAAATAAAAATAATAATAGTCAATAAATCTGATATTTCTCCTGTTGAGGTTGTTGTGAGCTTAATTTAAGATTATTTACCTCATTTCTAGACATTTTTTCTTTTCTTGTTTTAAGTAAGTTTATGACGTAAAATTATCTCACTATACTGGCAAATAAATGTGCTTGTTTTAAGAAACGTGCTTGAAACCAGCAAAACTATCTGCCAGTATAGTGAGATAATTTTACTTAATAAAATGACTGAAAACACGAGAAAAATGTCTAGAAATAAGCTGGATAATCTTATAATCAGTGCACAGCCATCTAAATATTAGATATATCGACTAGATTTAAGATCATTTCACTTGACAAGATGCCAGCTTTGCAGTGCAAACGCTGAATTTTGCAGAAATAAAAAGTTAACCCTTTAAGTTTTCCCGAGCAAAAGTGTTGGCACCCTCTCTTCTCACAGAGGGTAAACTGAGCTGGACGGCTAAACTTTCTGCATGAACAGTGTTTTTCTCTTCAGCTGTGGTTTCAGATTATGCAGAGTAAGCACAGCTGTGGGAAAGACAGTAGATTACAATCTCTACTGTCATACAGCACATTAATGTAATAAACAAACAAACAAATTGCTGCTGTCAGAACATCTCAATTTTTGTCATTTTTCACTTTTTGACATAATTTGAAAATACTTGTTTCTCTTCACATATTGTGTTAAGTTCATGATGAACGGACCAAGAGAAACGGCCCAAAATAACTTGGAAAAAATTCTGGTTCCACTGACTTACATTAAAAGTAAAGTATGTTTTTTCTGTCTCCTATAAAGTTATCATTTTGGAGATACGAGGTTTTGTTCTCACAACAGCGAAATGTGAGCTCTCAAAGAAAATAACCTCTCTGACAGTTCTGCAGGTTCTGCTGCTCAGACTGGCTGATTATGCATTTTTCATATTTAGGATTCAGTAGAGCTGAAATGTGTGCTGAACTGCAGTGTCACTGAAAGCAATTGACCTTATTGACGATTCAATTAGCGCGCAATAGTCACCCTGCCGCAATCTGGCTCTCAAATAAGGATAAAGATACAGGTTTATTGACGCGCCTGCATGAGGATGAGGCCGGTAATCACACCAGCGTCTCACCTTTTCCAGTTAACAACAAAAGTAAAAGCATTTCATTCCGATACTCACCCAGCTTTATTGGGCTCAGGAGACACAAACAGAGCAGGACTTTAAACCTCATGGTCTTTAACTGATCTGAGCAGGCAGGCCTTATCAAGCCCTTTTGTTTTCTCTCACACTCTTAGATAGTGACACGCACTCTTATATACGGAGTGGACGGTGGGCGGGTTCCAAACGGGCAGGCGATCAGAAACAGGGCTCAACAGGCCAACAAGAGGGGCGAGCGAGCTGGACATATAATGGACACTTAACCAGAGAGAGAGAGAGAGGGGAGAGAAAAAGGGAGAGTGAAGCGTAAACAGAGGGGGAAAGAGAGAGGGAGAAGAAAAAAAAGGGAGAGAGACAGAGCGAGAGAAGGAATGCAAGAGGAGAGAAAAACAGCAAGAAAAAGAGAGAGAGTGACACAAAAAAGGACAAAGAGAAGAGAGTAAGAGAGAGTGAAGGCTGAAGAGAGATAAGAGGGGAGAGAGAGGAGAGAGGGGGAAGAGAAAAGAGAGTGAAAGGTAAACAGAGGGAGAGAGAGATTGAAGATAAGGATAGAAAGAGAGAAGGAATGCATGAAGAGAGAAGGAAAGGAAGAGAGAGACTGATATAAAAGAAAATGAAGAGATAAAAAAAGATAGGGAGAAAGAGAAATGAAAAGGAAAAACGAATACAAAAAGATACAGGTAGAAAGAGAGAGAAAGAATGCAAGAAGAGAGAAAAACAAAGAAAGAAAAAAGACTGACAGAAAAAAAGAAAAATGGATAGAGAGAAGAGAATAAAGGATAGTGAAGGCTAAAGAGAGATAAGAGGAGAGAGAGAGCGAGGAGAAGGGGAAGAGAAAAGAGCGAAGGGTAAACAGGGAGAGAGAAAAGGATAGAGAGAAAGAAGGAGAGAGAAAATTGAGAGAGAGAGAGAGAGACAGAAGGAATGCAAGAGTAGAGAAGGAAAAGGAGAGAGAGATTGAAATAAAAGAAAATTAAGAGAGAAAAAAGAAAGAAAGAGATAGGAGAAGGAAAAACAGATACAAAGAAAAAGATACAGATGGAAAGAGAGAGAAGGAATGCAAGAAGAGAACGTGAAAAAAGAAAAATGGAGAGAGAAGAAAAAAGGGAGAGTGAAGCGTTAAGAGAGATAAGGAAGGAAAGGGGGAAGAGAAAAGGGAGAGTGACACAAATATGGGGGAGAAAGAGAAAGAGAAAGATGGAGTGAAAGGAGAGAGAAAAGAGAGAGAGAGAAGGAATACAAGAAGAGAGAAAAATGGAAGAAGAGAGAGAGAAAGAGACAGAAAGAAAGAAAGGAGAAGGAGAAATATATATATACAAAGAAAAAGAGAGAAGAGAGTAGAGTAGAGAGAAAGAGAAAGAACTAAAGAAAGAACGACAGAAAGAGGTGAGAGTCAAATAGAAAAAGGTGGGAGAAAGAAAGGGAAAGAAAGAAAGAGAAAGAGAAAGAGGGAGAGAAAAGGAGAGAGATAGAGATAGAAAGGGAGAGAAAGAAGGAGAGCAATAGAAAGAGGGAGGTAGTCAAAAAGAGAAGGAGAGATAGAATGAGAGAAAGAAAAGGAGAGTGGAGAGAAGGATAAAGAAAGAGGGAAAGAAAATAGAAAGAATGAGAGAAAGAGAGAGAGAGAGAGAGCGAGAGAGAGAGAGACATGTACACAGTCACAATTAGGACAGTGGTCACTTAAAATTCAGCCTGGCTCGTGTCCAGTGTTTTAGGCTACTTTATATTCACGCTGTATAGTGACCCAGCTGAAATCAGGGGTCCACTGTTGATCTCATGTGGATTGATCACATGTCCAGTTTCAATGGAACGGAAAAAACAACTGTATTTCTATTACGGACGGCGGGAGGAGGAGGAGGACGAGGAGGAGGACGAGTGCCTTCACACCTTCACACCTTTAATAATCTCCCTCTGTTTCTCACATCTGACCTTATTGTGGTGGAACATTAACCAGCTGGAGAGGCTGCAGCAGCACCATAAAGTATTTACAGGTTTCATCAAATATTCAGTAACTTTATTAGCTCCTCGTGGACAGATATGAAAGTTACAGTCAGCAAACAACTAAACAGAAGACAAAGCAATCGACTATATTAGAAAAATTACGAGGGAGCGACCTCAGCTTTTAGGTGCTGCTGCTAAACCAAACCTTCAGCTCAGGCTGCCTGGTAGCATCGGTAGCACCTGTGCTAACACACAAAAAAGTTTAGACGTTTAGAAAAACGCAGAAAATTACATTTGGAACTTTTTACTATCGGCTTTACAAGATGTTCAATGTAAACATTTGAGAACGGATAAGATACGAATGCTGGCCAGTGTTGTCCCTTGGAGTGACAGAGGAAGTGGCGTTTACAGGTGGCTCTGATTGGCTCAGAACTGTGTCGATCTTTATTTTGCAAATGGTAAGTTGAACGATTCATGGTCCATTCACAGACAGGTTCTTTTTTTAGCAACTGTTGCTAGGCTACATGAGCTTTACAGAAAGCTCCAATAAAAATGCACACAATTTATATTCAATTTCTATTAGATTCCTTTACAGTGGTGGTGATAGGAACCAGGGGTCGCCATGACTACAACACAGATATAGACATTTTGTTTACTCTCCAGAACCACCAGTGAACCTACAAGAGTCTTCTGAGTTTATATGGAATGTTGATGATGGTAAAAGATATAATGTGAATGGAAAATGCATTTGAGGATGATCAAGTCATCAATGAGGAAAGATATGTCTGGTGTCTGAAGTTTGCTTCTTTAGTTTTGTGCTAGAGGCTAACATAGCTAACAAGTAATAGAAGCTTATATGCATCAATTAGCATCATGCTAACTGCATGCCTAAACGATCTTGCTGGAAAAACCTGCACAGAACCAACACATTGCAGCAAGTTCGAGCAATGTTTCTGACATGTTAGTTCTAGGTTGTGTGTTCTCTAGCATTTCTTGCACTGGGTTATTTTGCTAAGGACCCATCAGGAAAAAGATATGTTCCAAATTTATTTATAAAATATATTTTTGCAATGTTTGAAAATAGCCAAAAACATATTTGTTAAATATATATTGTAGAATGCATTTAATTACGGTTGTTATCAGATTTTTTTCAATTGTATGTAGTTTAAAAAGGCTACAGGTGCAACTAAACAGTACTGACTTCTGTGATCTGCATTGTACTTTACATTAACCATGTACATATGCAGTAAGACACACAATGCATTTCAAATAAACAAGATATCAAATCATAACTGCATTTTTTGCCTAGGTTTCATTGCTAATACTTAAGATTAGTAAACTCAAATGTAAATTAATTTCCAAAGTTATTCCAAACTGTAAAATGCATTAGACAGTATGTTGGCTATTTTCAAACATTTTCAAATGTATTTGATAAATACATTTACATACATTTATTTTTGTGTGGTACATTTCTATGTGTAATATTTCCCCATACATTTTAAAATACATTTGGTTAATATGGCAATATATTCTGAAATACATTTCAGTGTTTGGAATGTATTTTGACATGGATTGCAATGCATTTGAAATGTATTTCAAATATATAAAAATATATGTCCATACATATTTTTTTTTCTCATGGGGACTCTTATTGTGAAGGGCAGGGCTAAGTACCACCTAGGGGAAGTGTGTGTGAGAGTGTGTGAGCTGGTAAAGAGAGAGAGAAACGAAAGACGTGAGCTGAATTAGAGAGCGAACTGTTAGTGAGAGACTCTGCTTACGTACGGCGTGGCTGTGGCCGACAACAGCTGGAGAATAAAGCACCATGACTCATGCGAAAGCTGTGTCTGTTCTAATAGCGGTGAATGTTTCAATATGTTGTTTTGGATACTGGTACGCTGGTCAACCAGCATGACCATGCTGGATGACCAGTTAAACCAGCAACAGACCAGCACAAACCAGCATTTAGACCAGCATGGAATGAAAATACACACACTTTCCTCAAATCATGTGCAGATGTTCAGTAATCCCTAATGTGGTTTCTCACAGGGTATCACACACTAGTATCAATAAAATGGACCAAAGTGTGTCACACAGCTAAAAACAGTATTTGCTACTGTTTTAAAGCCTGAATGGACAAAAGTACAGACAAAATCCAGGCTAGCTGCTACTGTTTTTAGCTATAATGTACTTTAGTCCATGTTTATAGATAACAGTGAGTCATACAGAGTCAGAAACCACATAATCAAGACTATTAGAGACACTGAACACCTCCACATGCTTTGAAGTGAGTTTGTGATGATTTAGCCATGCAGTTAGCGCCATGCGAACTGGTTGGTCAGCTTCTACTGCTTGTCAGCTACATTAGCTCCCATAGCTAGAGAAGCACACACAGAACATGCCTTTGCTGATTGATTACATTTGGGGTAAAGGGGAAGCTGTGTAAATTAGACGTTTTTTTTTTTCTGGCTCTTACTGTTTTCGAACAGATCGAAGGTGGTGCTGCATTCGTTATGAGAACCATGAAAAAAATATCTATGGTAACCTGAACAACTCTCCCTAAGAATGTCCAGCTCTCCTGACGGCTGTAGCTTTAAAATAAACAGCTGTGGTCTCCCTGTAAATACCATTATATTGTGTTATGTCCAGTTTATTTTAGCCTTTTTTTCTGAGGTGACTGTTCCGAAGCTAAAGTCTGTTTGTCTGACCCATTTGTCCTTCATTCTTCTGTTGTATCGAAACCTTTCATCCCACCATGAGGGAGTGCACAGTGTAAAAGGAGGAATGGATGGAGTGAAGAGTAGAGTTTACTAAGTTTACTAAGGGGTCAATTCTACACGGCTCTCTTCAACGGGAACTTTAGTGCTCCTTTTGATGGAAACGCACACAAATTAGGCCCTGAGTGTGTCGGCCTGCACAGCAATGCAGCAATTAAGAGGGAAAGGCAGCGAAAGAAGAAACAAGGGTTGGAAGGGCGACCGAGAGAGATGGAGAGAGAGAGAGATGGGGAGGGAGAGCAAGTGAGAGAGTGGACAGAGGAAGATTTAAAGGCCTGAGAGAAACACAGGGTCCTCACAGAGAGGGGAAAAATGGAGCCCACTGTTGATCCCATTGAGGAAACTTAATGAACTGAATGAAAATGTGCATCGGTTCAAAATGAACTTGTTAATCTGCATGGAAAACGGAGGATTGTTGATGAAAGATTGTCGGGAGAGATTCTGAGTGTCTGATTATTTTTATGTTTATGAATCTGTTCTTAGAATTTTATATTCTATACTACAAATGTCAGTTCCAAAAATGTTGGGACAGTATGTGGAATACAAACACATTCAGAAAGCAGTGGTTTGTGAATCCACTTTCAGCCATATTTAAAAGAAAACTGTGCAACGATTTTAGGATCTTCACCCTCTACAATGCATGTTGTCTAAAGAATTCAGGGAATGCGTAAATGGCAAGGCCAAAAACTACAACTAAATGCCTGTAACCTTTGACCCCTCCAAAGGAATTGCATTAAAAACCAGCATGCTTCTGGTTTAACAGCATAGCTGCGTAATCTGACGGTGGAGATGCTGGACAGTCTCACACATTCAGAAGCACAACAAACGACAATGAAGGCCCTGTATGGTTGCGCAGTTTAAGACTTGCATAAAGAAAGAATGGCAAAAAATTCTGCTTTCAAAACTGGATCGACTTCAGTCCCCAACTTTTTTGGAAAGGGTTGCAGGCTTTAAACCCAGTTATGCAGTTTTCATGAAGATTCTGACTCACCAGTGTTCTCTCATGTGGGATTTGTTCTTAGGTAAGAACAGAATCTACACACACTCAAGAGCACAAAGGTGAGAACGGTTCTGTGCTTTAAGAACACGTCATGAATCTGACATAGACATTTTCTTAGGATCTTTCTCAACAACACATTTAAGAACAAACTTAGGAAGATATTGGAGAATAAAGCCCAAAATTCATAAGTTAAACATCAAATATCGTGCCATTTCAGTTCAGTTGAGCAGCGTGTCCAGGTAATTGAGGACTTCGTGTACACAGTGCTGTTGCTCATGTGAGTCAAGCATAGGATACGAATGAGTTTTCAGGTATTAAAACTATCACTTTTTTACACTTTACACCTTTTTTTGTTCACTTTTTGATCGTGCTGGCTGTTACCTGCTAGCTCTAAACATTCAAACCAGCACAATTGTGCTGTAGAGTTTGGTCTAAAAACATGGCATTTTGGAATTACATAAATTTATCACAGCAATCATATGACCTGAGTGCTAGCCACGTGCTAGCTTTCACCCTCCATGGGACGATGGAGGCAATGAGGCCAGATGCAAGTGCGAGTTGCTTCTATTTTAATCTAATTTAACAGAGTCCAGAAACTGAGTAGCCGAGGCACATAGAGCAATAATAGTATAGTAATATAATAGTATAATAATACAATAGAGCAGATAAGTCCATCACGAAAAACAGAGCACAACAAAACTAAACACAAAGGAAGACAAACTAAAGAACTCAAAGCCTGAAACAAGACCAAAGAGAACTAGGAACAGGGAACAAAGGGGTCACATCGACAATGCAAGACAAAGGGATGAGCAAACACAGGGATATAAATACACTGTGGGGAAACAGTAAACGCCTGGGACTAATCAGGGAGTGGAGCTACAGACAACAGACAGGTGGAACAGATGATAAAGAAGCAGGACCAAGGAGAAGACACAGGCCAAAACAATGACAAAAGTACATGGCAAGTGCAATTCCTTCCTTATTTACCTCTGTGTGGCATGCACCCACCCCCCGGGACCCGACGATGATGGCCACGGGAGCTGGTAGGACGGCGGGGCCCAAACACCCAGCAGCGACGAACCTCAGTGAAGATGGCAGGGAGAGAGTCGTGGAGGGCAAAAGCCCCCTGGTACGCAGTGAGGCTGCTTCACTACACCTCATGTTTGACCCAGGCGGCCGAGCTGCAAGCTGGGGGTGGTGACGGGGAGGCGGAGCGGCGAGCTCTCGTTCCCTCTCGGCTCGGGCACCTTTTAAAAGAGCAGAGAGAGAACAGAGCGACAGAGAGGGACAAGCAGCAGCAAGAAACGGAAGAGCTGAAAAGCTTGAGTAAGAGACTGGAAAGTCTAGCTGACTGAAGCCACTGAAAAGTGGCCAGCATAGTGTAGGTTTGAGTTTGTGTTTATTTGTGTGGGTGAAATAAAGATATGGCTGCTGCAACACTGAACCCTGCCTCCAACACACTGAGGGAGTCTCCGCGGCAGAAGAGGAGACCGTCAAGACCCTAGTCCACCTGCACCTGGCCGGCTGGCGGGAGCTGCAGGCTGTCTTCCAGGATGCTGAAAAGCACTGGAAGCAGCTTGAGAAGCAACAGGTGGAGACCCATCAGATGGTCAGGAGCCTGCTGGTGGAGCGGCAACCCTCGGTGTGCGTGGGGGCAGGAGCCCCTCTCTCACCACCCCTCAAGCCTCCAGTCCCAGCTCCAAGGAGGACTGGAGCCCTTCAACCCCCTCACCTTCTCTCCCTTCCATCCCTGCTCCAAGAGCGTTCGGAGCTCACCTGCCCTTCCCCTCCCGTCCCTGCTCCGTCCCCAAATTCATTTCAGACAATAAAGTGAATTAGGGAGGATTTTGACTGTATTCATACATTTTCAAACGTGTCTGATAAACACATTTACGTACATTTATTTTTGTATGGTACATTTTTAGGTATAATATTTTCCCATACATTTTAAAATAAATATATTTTGAAAGATTAATAGGGCAAAATATTGTAAAATACATTTTAGTGTTTGAAATTATATATACACACACAAATATATAGTCTTAGTCTGTTTAGAACAAATGGCACTCAGTTTGACATTTTGTTTCCCAACACAGCCTCCAAATACTTTTTAAATACTTTCTTAGGGAACTGTAAGTAGTGAAAATAGGTGTGGTCCATGGTAGTGGTTATATTTTTAAGCATAACCGTAACTGATCTTTCAACAGAACAAGAATTACTGGTCTTCCTGCTGTGACGGCAAAACAGATAACTCTAGAGACAGAACCCTCCATTAGCACAGACCAGACGACAGTGGGAGAGTGAAATCCTTTTCCTCTGTTACGGTCAAACTTAGCCATGGAGCTATCTCTCATCTCACTATACTTCACCATCTTACTGCTGTCTGCTGAAGGTAAGCTGACTGATGTTTGTGTATATGCAGTAGACCTAATGACAATACATATGGATAGACTGTATAATGCAAGATGGCTTTCGGTTTCACTTTTTCTGTTTGAGAGACATTTTGCCTTCTATTTCTTTTGATGCCACAAAAATTCCAGAATGGGATCATCATTTGTCAGACACTGACCTAAAGGCCCTGAGTCTGATGTTAAAGGAGAATTCCACTGATCTTTCAAAATTTCTGCATAATGAAAATGAAATGGTTCAGATTTAACCCCTTACCAAGCCATGGGCTGGCCAGGAGGCCCAAAGCATTACTACACACTTCTATAACAGAAGAATGGCTCTATTAGTTTGCACCGAAGTCCCTGTAGTTACTGAATAATAAACCTTTGTATGTAATAATCCTGGATTGTTAAGGGGTTAAACAAAGTCATTCAGAGGGCCGTATTAGAGAAACTTCTCAACTCTGAAATCTGTTTAGTCTCCATGACGACTTCAGTACAGACTGAATTTCGGACAGTAGTTATTCCAGAATAACAGTTCCTAACTTCATAATCTCATCATGAACTCCAGATAAGAAAACAGCATCACACAAACATCCTAACTAGACTAAACCTCCTAAATCCTGTCCTAACTTTAGGATGAACCCCAACAGGGTCCGAACTTCTGTTTAAGGTCCGTTTCTATGGTTTTTAGGCAGCTGAGTCAGCAGCATAGTTCACTACCAGCATAAAGAGCTCCATTTATTTCTACTGTAAAACGCTGCTTTCACTGTGAGATGATTTTCTTTTCTAACTCTGCGTTTTAAAGATCTCAGACGCTGCAGACTCGATCTCCACCGCCCCTCTGATCACCTTCGTGTGTTAATGTTGATGATGAAATATTACAGTGATGGTGGTGAATAATGAGGAGACGGAGCTGAACGTGGGTCTGTTTATTAGGAGGAGTAACGTTAGCGCGCTCGGCTAAAGCGTTTGGGGAAATGGAGACTGAAACTGGGGAGCGGCGACGCTCTGATAAACAGCAGGGGGCGCTCTGACAGTATTCACAACTTACAGTTCATCACACTTTAGTTCAGTTTGACCTTTTTTACATCAGTAACGGTGGCTGTCTGGCTAACTAACTCACATGTTTAACATATTTTTGATGATGTGTTTATGTTTCAGCTGTGTGTGTTGGGTCGATTGCTAGGTAACAGACATGACAGCTGATCGTCGACTTTGATCGAGTACTTTAAGATTTACCAACTTAAAATAAGATGCTGTAAGATAAGATAAGATTCCTGAATTTAGATAAGATTTGCTTCTGTAACACGAATTTGTGAAAAATCTCGTCTTGACCTTCTAAACCTAACTTAAGACTAAAGACAGTATGTTTCTGAAATACGGCTGCAGACGTCCACCTCTAAAAGCTCCCTCACAGAAAGTTATTGCATATATGAATACACTGCCTGATGTCTGAGACACTGATTTATGATAGTTGTGAGAACATTTTGGCCCTCGCACACATGGTGGAGGGATACATGTAGGAGGCAAAATAGTCCCAAATAGTTTTCAGATGTTCCACTATTTCCCATCATCAACATCCCATATAAACTCAGAAGACTCGTGTAGGTTCACTGGTGGTTCTGGATAGTAAATAAAATGTCTATATTTGTGTTGTAGTCATGGTGACCCCTGGTTCCTATCACCACCACTGTAAAGACATCTGAACCATTTCACACCAAACCACTCTGAATCTCTCTGTTTACATCTCAAACACTCAGTCATGCAGAAATTTTGAAAAATGTGTGGAATTCCCCTTTGAATACCTTTAGTCAAGTCACGTCAACCTTTACATTGTTTAGTTGGTAAATCTCTTCTACTGTAACTCTATGGAGGAGTATGGTTGGAGGGCCAGAAGATGGAGGTGCTGATTTACAGGCTTATATTTAATTGAGTACTAATTATGATCAATACTTTTCATAACCAATCTTTGTTTTTCTCCTACAGACTCAAATGCACAGACTACGAACAGTAAGATCTCAGATTTGTTTCAGTTCTGATTCGACTCAGTTAGTCTGATTCCACAGAGTCTCTAGAGAAAGAAATCTGATCCTCAATCTGATAACAGTAAAAAGCCTCTGTATGAAGGTATTTAACATTTTGTTTGTTTGACCAATTTGACAACAAAAATGTTCAACACAATCCCAAATTAAAAAAACACACACGTTAATTTGTGCACTTTTGAAGCCCACCCTCAGCCCACCCCTGCCAGGGAGAAAAACATACAATTGCGTCTTTTATTCTCCATTTTTGGTTTCTGGAAGAAAAATTCTCAAAATAATGACTTCTTGCCTTAAAGTTTGAACATCTATCTTTAAATAATGACTAATTTTCTCAGAATTTTGACTTAGTATCTTAACAAACTATGACAAATGACGGATTAATGACTTTTCTCTGAATTTTTACTTTGAATCTGAAAATAATGAATTTTATGTTTTCAGATCTCAAAATTTTAACTTACTATCTGGAAATAACTAATTTTCTCAACAATTTGACTTAGTACCTCAAAATAATAACTCGCTATTTTGAAATAACTTATTTTCTCAAAATGTATACATAGTATCTCAAAATAATGAATTATTTCTCAAACTTTTGACTGACTACCTCAAAAGTTTAAAAGTTTAAAGTATCTGGATATAATAACTAATTTTCTCAACATTTTGACTTAATATCTCAAAATAAAAACTGGCTATGTTGAAATAACTAGTGTCTTTCATTCATTACTTATTTTCACAAAATTTTTACTTAGTATCTCAAAACAAAGATTTTTTTTTAATTTTTACTTATTAGCTCAAAATTTTTACTTATTATCTGGAAATAATAACTAATTTTCTCATCATTTTGACTTACTGTCTCAAAATAATAACTCGCTATGTTGAAATAACTTATTTTCTCAAAATTTACATCTAGTGTCTTAAAATCATTACCTATTTTCTCAAAATTATTACTTAGTATCTAAAATAATGAAAATTTTCTCAAATTTCTGACTTACTATCTCAACATTTTAACCAACCTAAACTAATTTTCTCAACATTTTTACTTAGTATCTCAAAATAATAACTAATTATGTTAAAATAGCTTATTTTCTCAAAATATATTTTTAGTGTCTTTAAATAATTATTTATTTTCTCAAAATTTTTACTTAGTATCTCAAAATAATGACTGGTTTTCTCCAAATTTTGGTTTAGTATCTCAAAATAATGACTTGCAATAATTACTTATTTTCTCCTAATTTTGTCCTAGTATTTTAAAATGACTGTTAAAAAACTCTTTACTTTCTTGCAATTTATCATTAAGTCATTATTTTGACATTGTAAGTCATTATTTTAAGATACTAAGTCAAAATCATGACATACTGTGGCCAGAAAAAGAGAAGAAGTAAAAAATTCTCTATCTTGTGAGAACGGGCTTCCTCAGTGCACAGCTGGATCTGAGGGAACACAGTTGGACCATGAAGTGAATATAAACTCAGGTAGATTATAAAAATTATGGATGTATTTATAGACACTATAACTGTAGTTCTACAGCAATGATAGTTGTGGACTGTGGTAACTTCTCACTGATCTATGTCCCCCCCGTGTCTCTCAGACTGTGGGGTTGCCCCTCTGAACACCCGTGTTGTAGGAGGTGCTGATGCTCCAGTGGGGAACTGGCCCTGGCAGGTCAGCATCCACTACTCAGGCAGACACATCTGTGGAGGAACGCTCATCCACCAAGACTGGGTCCTCACCGCCGCTCACTGCATTTTATCGTGAGTGTAGGCCGGTTCTTTAATTACACTCTGAGCAAAAAGGGTTCTACATGCCAGTAGTTCTCAAATGATGGACCCCAGGCGGTCCACATATTTGCTTGATCCAAACCTCCGGACCATTCAGGGGGCCCTGAGGAACGGTTTGAGAACCACTCCTATGTACTACCAAAAAAGTTCCGTGATGTGTAATAACAGTGGGTGCTATATAGAACCAGTTGTAAAAAGGTTCTTTTACATAAATAACCAGTTGTCCATCAAAGGGATGATCCATTTTCTGATCTTCAAAGAGGCGTTTAAGCATTCCAATGGTTCTTTGAGTTGACATTACATGGCCAAAAGAATGTGGACACTCATCATACATCCAAACATCATATTCACATGTATGAGTTATTTTGAACATATTATGAGAAGAGCTAGTTCATAGGAAATTATGACAGTTATGCTTGGAAGAGGATGGAGTAATCAGAGGAATCATCAATGAGCCACTAAGATGCCTGAAGACCCAAACACAAGACAGGAAATTCTGGAGGAACACCAATCCAGATGGTCTCCAGGAGTCAAAGCTGACTTGATGGCACAAACAAACAAACATACAAACAAATATATTTCTACATATGGAATTTCAGGGCTAAGTCATCACATACAGTACTATTTTGAACAAAAATATTTTGCACATATTTTGCATGTAAAGCAATACATGCATGTGCGTGCATATTGCTGATGTTGGAACAAAACCTCCATTTTTATCGTTTTTCAGTTTTTGGAATAATTTAAAAATACCTGCTGCTCTTTACATTTTATGTAAATTTTATGATGAATGGAGCAAAAGAAATGAAAATTGCTTGGGAAAAAGTCTGGTTCCACTGACTTACAATAAAAGTGAAGTTTGTTTTTTCCTTATCCTGTAAAGTTACCATTTTGGAGATACAAGGTTTTTTCTTACAGCAGCGATTCAGCTTGTCATTAGCTGATAATGATGTTTAAACATAGTGTTGTTAGTTCAGTGGAGAAACACTGGACAGGCTCTCCTATGTTAGCCTGCTGTGGCAATTCCAGGTATTCTGACTGCACTGAGTTTATGTGTTCAGTAACATTTGCCCTGAGTTAGTTTTAAATGTGTTATAGCTTTTTAATGCATTCATAAAACTAGCATTTTCAAAGAATACGTCCTTCTTCTGTTCCTCCGTTTCACTGAAGATTGTGTAAGACCTGCCCAAAGAGCAGGTCTTTTGAAGTGCTCTCAGCCTCACATCCGCTGAAGGGACTGTCAAACTCAAACTAATTTAAAGCTTCCTGATTAGACGCTGACTGGATTAGATCATTTAAAGGAACGTTTCCAGTGTTTTTCAACCTGGTCTCAATCTGCTGCTCTGTATTGTGCTGTTGATTCCTGTGGACAATGAGTGAAGTGTTTCACTGAACATTAAAAGGAGCGAGAAAAATGCTAAAACACACTTATGATTTAAGCTAATAGGAATATTTCAGTGAAGGTTTATTTGAAATGCATTTCAGGAATTCAGCAGTCAAAGGAATGAATTTGGCTGCAAACTGTATAAACAAAGATGGGACTAGTTTCTCAGAGGGCCGAATTACATTAGTGGTGTGGATACCAGAAAACAACAGGTAAAAACTGAAAGTAACTGGAACTACTTTTCACTGTGTAGCTCCTGTGTTTGAAAGTTAAAACAAAAACTTGGGCATCGCTTTGGTGTCCCACATGGTTGCTAAGGTGTTGCTAGGCATTGCTATGGTGTCCCATATGGTCACTAAGGTGTTGCTAGGCCATTGCTATGGTGTCCCATGTGGTCACTAAGGTGTTGCTAGGCCATTGCTATGGTGTCCCCTGTGATTGCTAAGGTGTTACTAGGGCATTGCTATGGTGTCCCATGTGATCGTTAAGGTGTCCCATGTGGTCGCTAAGGTGTTGCTAGGCATTGCTATGGTGTCCCATGTAGTCGCTAATGTGTTGCTAGGCCATTGCTATGGTGTCCCATGTGGTCACTAAGGTGTTGGTAGGCCATTGCTATGGTGTCCCATGTGGTCGCTAAGGTGTTGCTAGGCCATTGCTATGGTGTCCCATGTGGTCGCTAAGGTGTTGCTAGGCCATTGCTATGGTGTCCCATGTGGTCGCTAAGGTGTTGCTAGGCCATTGCTATGGTCTCCCAGGTGGTTGCTAAGATGTCACAGTTGTTATGGTATCCGTGATCGCTGCTAATATGTAAGTATATATTTGCTAGCATGTATGTGAGTCTGTATGTAATGTCTACACTATTCCCATATCAGCTCTATGATTGTGGTTCCAAGTTTCGTGGCTCTAGCTTGAAAACTGTGACCCAGAATAATAAATGAAGAACAGTAAGTTGGCTTTGACAAGCCATACATCAATAAATCAAGTGGTCTTCACTGTCTTTCCTCGGTATAACTTGTATACACTGGAACAGAATGTAATAAGACATTCACGCAGTCTGTCCCATTCTAAGGCCTGCACTGTTAGAGTGGAATGGCTGGAGTTTCAAATATTGACAATTATATTGTCACATATTTTTAATGGTTATTCACAGAATTCAGCAACTGCCCACTGGCTTATAAGTAAGTTTCGAGTCAATGGGTTTTCTGGTCTTTTTTAACTACAGCACATCAAATAAATCGATGGTACAATAAAAACATGAGCAGATCGGTTAAAAAACAGTGGAATATTCTTTTAACACAGGAGATTTGACTGTGTCCTGTCCTTCACATCAGCACAGATACGAGCAAGTGGACGCTGTACCTGGGAAGGCAGCATCAGAGCGGATCAAACCCCAATGAAGTGAGCTGGAGCATCCAGGCCATTATCATCCACCCCAACTACAACAACACCCTGTACGACAACGATGTCACTCTGATGAGGCTGAGCGTGTCAGTCACCTTAACAGACTACATCCGGCCCATCTGCCTGGCGGCTAATTCCAGCACCTTCTACAACGCCACCTCCTGTTGGGCCACAGGCTGGGGCAACATCGGCAAGGGTGGTAAGATTGAAAAAAGGGGAAGAACCGAAATTTACTATGGCGATGATGTTACTCTAGCTATTCTATTGACAGTGCATTTCTGTGGAGATTAGAAAACCGAACACCTGGACTTTAAAGCAGGTGTTCTCAAACTTTTCCACCTCAAGGCCTACTTATCACTAGAAAGCATGAAAGACCACAAGCAAACAAAACTCTACTTATTTTGCTCAAAAAAGTAATTTTTGGGAAAATTTCAGTACAGTTGAAACTGCTGCAATACATATCACAAATTAGTGAACATACAATATCAATAGATTAGGCTAACATGTCGCTGCTGTCGGAACAAAACCTTGTATCTACAAAATGGTAACTTTACAGGAGAAGGAAAAAACATAACCTACTTTTAATGTAAGTCAATGGAACCAGAATTTTTACCAAGTAATTTTGGGCCATTTCTTTTGGTCCATTCATCATGAAATTTACACACAATATAAAGGGCAACAGGCATTTTCAAATTGTGTCAAAAACCGAAAAACAACAAAAACGGAGATACGAGATTTTGTTCCGACAGCAGTGATAAGGTTGCTTTATATCAGAAATCAGAATAGTGAGAAGTGAGGTAGAATGTCAGGGGGAGTGTGTATTCGTTTTTGCAGAACTTGTATTAACATTGTTTACAGTTTGAAAACAGGTTAAATTTCTTTCTTTATTGTTAAGTCAATTATTTTTTCATTGATTTTTAAGACAAAGTGCCATCATCAGCCCACTATGGACCACCAAAGGGTGCTTTGAGAAACACCGCTTCACAGTATTCACTCGATAGAAGGGCTGTCTGAATACTTTTGCACAGATCGTGTAACTCGAATAATCCTCTTGTACCAATTCAGTGCGACCCAGGGGTCGCCATGACCACAACACTAATATAGACATTTTATTTACTATCCAAAACCACCAGTGAACCTACAGGAGTCTTCTGAGTTTATATGGAATGTTGATGATGGGAAATAGTAAAATTCTGAAATAATAAGTTTTCTTTAGGGACTATTTTTTCACAACACCCTGCATGTATCCCTCCACCATGAATGTGTATGTATAATAAATAAATAAATAAATAAATAAACACACACACACACACACACACACACACACACACACATATATATATATATGTATATATATATACATATATATATATATATATATATATATATATATATACATGTATGTGTATTTATACACATTTGTTTATACATTGTGTGTATGTTTTAGACCAAAACCTTATTTTAAAACAATCATAAAACAATATCTCAGACATCAAGCTATGTATTCATAGCCATTTATGTGGGAGCTGTGAGACATTACACTTTTCAGACGTCTGGTTCCTATCACCACCACTGTGAACAATTCTGACTCTGTAAGTTTATCTAGAACGGGGCGTTTCACACCAAACCACTCTGAATGACTCTGTTTACAGTTGAACCACTTAATTAGGCAGACATTGTCAAAGATTGGTGGAGTTCCCCTTTAAGACTGGAGTCCGTAGCCATAACAGCAACTGAACAATGCACAGTACGTCTCTCCACTAAACGATCGTCTTGTTATCTCAATAGAAACAAACACTGTAAATAAAAGTGGTGTGGCTTCAAATGACAGACTTGTTTATGTGGGTGTTTGATGAGGGTCTTTGGACAACAACTGTCCTGTTCACAGGTGTCAGAAACTAAAATTTTCCATTTTCTCTCATTTATACACCTGACTCTCTCACCCACTGACTGACCCACTCACTCCGTCTTTCTGCCAGTTTCTTTACCGGCTCCTCAAACTCTTCAGGAGGTCGAGATCCCAGTCATGGGCAGCAGACAGTGTACGTGTGTGTACAAGCCAGTAGAGGACACTGTTATCACAGCTCAGATGGTTTGTGCTGGGACAAATGGCAAAGGAATTTGTCAGGTACGTTTCAACCAGGCAGATCACAGAGAAACTGCGAATAATCTTAACAGTCTGGACGAAATAAACACCATCAGTGAACCCTAACAAAAAGTCACATGAACTTCACATGTGGTTTTTGCACAGCTGTGCTAAAAATGTGTTATCACATGTGAAAATGTGTTGAGATATAAAAAAAACATGAGAACGTGTTTTTTTGCACACTTCACATGTGAAATATATGTGACTTTTCGCTAAGGGAGCATTCAGAGCGGTTTGATGTGAAATAATGAGTTGTAGAGAAAAGTTCTGAGTCAGAATTGTTCACAGTGGTGGTGATAGGAACCAGACGTCTAAATAAAATGTCTATATTTGTGTTGTACACATCGTGACCGCTGGTTCCTGTCGCCACCACTGTAAAGAAATCTACTGTAGAGTTCTCTACCATAAACGATTTCAAATTAAACTGCACTGAATGACTCTGTTCACTTTTCAACTGTTGAATTATACAGAAACTTTGAAAAGTTGGTGGAATTCCCCTTTAAGAGAGGACTTGTCAATGTAAATGTATCAAAGCACCAAAAGTTTTAGCATGAAAATAAATGCTAATTAATTAAACAGTATAAAATAAAATGATTTTTACAATTTAGAAATACTAAAATACCCTTTAATGAGTGGATAAGATCAATAACTAACATTTTTCAAATGACTGATAAACATCCACTGTGAATGAAAGGTGTTATTTGAATAGAAGAGGTCAGCCATAAAATACTCACCATATCCTCACTGAATCACACATCACCTCCCTGGACAACTAGATGACAGCACTGCAAACTGTTCTCAGATGGAGTGATGCTAAAAGGCTTATGGTGCTAAAAGGCCTATGGTGCTAAAAGGCATATGGTTCTAACAGGCCTATAGTGCTAACAGGCCTATAGTGCTAAGAGGGCTATGGTTCTATCAGGGCTATAGTGCTAACAGGGCTATAGTTCTATCAGGGTATGGTTCTAACAGGGCTATAATGCTAACAGGGCTATAGTTCTATCAGGGTATGGTTCTAACAGGGCTATAATGCTAACAGGGCTATAGTTCTATCAGGGTATGGTTCTAACAGGGCTATAATGCTAACAGGGCTATAGTTCTATCAGGGTATGGTTCTAACAGGGCCTATAGTGCTAACAGGGCTATAGTTCTATCAGGGTATGGTGCTAACAGGCCTATAGTGCTAAGAGGGCTATGGTTCTATCAGGGTATGGTTCTAACAGGCCTATAGTGCTAAGAGGGCTATAGTTCTATCAGGGCTATAGTGCTAACAGGGCTATAGTTCTAACAGGGTATGGTTCTAACAGACCTATAATGCTAACAGGGCTATGGTTCTATCAGGGTATGGTTCTAACAGACCTATAATGCTAACAGGGCTATGGTTCTATCAGGGTATGGTTCTAACAGGGCTATAATGCTAACAGGGCTATAGTTCTATCAGGGTATGGTTCTAACAGGCCTATAGTGCTAACAGGGCTATAGTTCTATCAGGGTATGGTTCTAACAGGCCTATAGTGCTAAGAGGGCTATAGTTCTATCAGGGTATGGTTCTAACAGACCTATAATGCTAACAGGGCTATGGTTCTATCAGGGTATGGTTCTAACAGGGCTATAATGCTAACAGGGCTATGGTTCTATCAGGGTATGGTTCTAACAGGGCTATAATGCTAACAGGGCTATAGTTCTATCAGGGTATGGTTCTAACAGGCATATAGTGCTAAGAGGGCTATGGTTCTATCAGGGTATGGTTCTAACAGGCCTACAGTGCTAACAGGGCTATAGTTCTATCAGGGTATGGTTCTAACAGACCTATAATGCTAACAGGGCTATAGTTCTATCAGAGTATGGTTCTAACAGGCCTATAGTGCTAACAGGGCTATAGTTCTATCAGGGTATGGTGCTAACAGGCCTATAGTGCTAAGAGGGCTATGGTTCTATCAGGGTATGGTTCTAACAGGCCTATAGTGCTAAGAGGGCTATAGTTCTATCAGGGCTATAGTGCTAACAGGGCTATAGTTCTAACAGGGTATGGTTCTAACAGACCTATAATGCTAACAGGGCTATGGTTCTATCAGGGTATGGTTCTAACAGGCCTATAGTGCTAAGAGGGCTATGGTTCTATCAGGGCTATAGTGCTAACAGGGCTATAGTTCTATCAGGGTATGGTTCTAACAGGGCTATAATGCTAACAGGGCTATAGTTCTATCAGGGTATGGTTCTAACAGGGCTATAATGCTAACAGGGCTATAGTTCTATCAGGGTATGGTTCTAACAGGCCTATAGTGCTAACAGGGCTATAGTTCTATCAGGGTATGGTGCTAACAGGCCTATAGTGCTAAGAGGGCTATGGTTCTATCAGGGTATGGTTCTAACAGGCCTATAGTGCTAAGAGGGCTATAGTTCTATCAGGGCTATAGTGCTAACAGGGCTATAGTTCTATCAGAGTATGGTTCTAACAGACCTATAATGCTAACAGGGCTATGGTTCTATCAGGGTATGGTTCTAACAGACCTATAATGCTAACAGGGCTATGGTTCTATCAGGGTATGGTTCTAACAGGGCTATAATGCTAACAGGGCTATAGTTCTATCAGGGTATGGTTCTAACAGGCCTATAGTGCTAACAGGGCTATAGTTCTATCAGGGTATGGTTCTAACAGGCCTATAGTGCTAAGAGGGCTATAGTTCTATCAGGGTATGGTTCTAACAGACCTATAATGCTAACAGGGCTATGGTTCTATCAGGGTATGGTTCTAACAGGGCTATAATGCTAACAGGGCTATGGTTCTATCAGGGTATGGTTCTAACAGGGCTATAATGCTAACAGGGCTATAGTTCTATCAGGGTATGGTTCTAACAGGCATATAGTGCTAAGAGGGCTATGGTTCTATCAGGGTATGGTTCTAACAGGCCTACAGTGCTAACAGGGCTATAGTTCTATCAGGGTATGGTTCTAACAGACCTATAATGCTAACAGGGCTATAGTTCTATCAGAGTATGGTTCTAACAGGCCTATAGTGCTAACAGGGCTATAGTTCTATCAGGGTATGGTGCTAACAGGCCTATAGTGCTAAGAGGGCTATGGTTCTATCAGGGTATGGTTCTAACAGGCCTATAGTGCTAAGAGGGCTATAGTTCTATCAGGGCTATAGTGCTAACAGGGCTATAGTTCTAACAGGGTATGGTTCTAACAGACCTATAATGCTAACAGGGCTATGGTTCTATCAGGGTATGGTTCTAACAGGGCTATAATGCTAACAGGGCTATAGTTCTATCAGGGTATGGTTCTAACAGGGCTATAGTGCTAAGAGGGCTATAGTTCTATCAGGGCTATAGTGCTAACAGGGCTATAGTTCTAACAGGGTATGGTTCTAACAGACCTATAATGCTAACAGGGCTATGGTTCTATCAGGGTATGGTTCTAACAGGGCTATAATGCTAACAGGGCTATAGTTCTATCAGGGTATGGTTCTAACAGGGCTATAATGCTAACAGGGCTATAGTTCTATCAGGGTATGGTGCTAACAGGCCTATAGTGCTAAGAGGGCTATAGTTCTATCAGGGTATGGTTCTAACAGACCTATAATGCTAACAGGGCTATGGTTCTATCAGGGTATGGTTCTAACAGGGCTATAATGCTAACAGGGCTATAGTTCTATCAGGGTATGGTTCTAACAGGGCTATAATGCTAACAGGGCTATGGTTCTATCAGGGTATGGTTCTAACAGGGCTATAATGCTAACAGGGCTATAGTTCTATCAGGGTATGGTTCTAACAGGGCTATAATGCTAACAGGGCTATAGTTCTATCAGGGTATGGTTCTAACAGGCATATAGTGCTAAGAGGGCTATGGTTCTATCAGGGTATGGTTCTAACAGGCCTACAGTGCTAACAGGGCTATAGTTCTATCAGGGTATGGTTCTAACAGACCTATAATGCTAACAGGGCTATAGTTCTATCAGGGTATGGTTCTAACAGGCCTATAGTGCTAACAGGGCTATAGTTCTATCAGGGTATGGTTCTAACAGGCCTATAGTGCTAACAGGGCTATAGTTCTATCAGGGTATGGTGCTAACAGGCCTATTGTGCTAAGAGGGCTATGGTTCTATCAGGGTATGGTTCTAACAGGCCTATGGTGCTAAGAGGGCTATAGTTCTATCAGGGCTATAGTGCTAACAGGGCTATAGTTCTAACAGGGTATGGTTCTAACAGGGCTATAATGCTAACAGGGCTATGGTTCTATCAGGGTATGGTTCTAACAGGCCTATAGTGCTAAGAGGGCTATAGTTCTATCAGGGCTATAGTGCTAACAGGGCTATAGTTCTAACAGGGTATGGTTCTAACAGACCTATAATGCTAACAGGGCTATGGTTCTATCAGGGTATGGTTCTAACAGGGCTATAATGCTAACAGGGCTATAGTTCTATCAGGGTATGGTTCTAACAGGGCTATAGTTCTATCAGGGTATGGTTCTAACAGGGCTATAGTGCTAACAGGGCTATAGTTCTATCAGGGTGTGTCACTTCCGAGTTAAGGCAAATTCAGCATTAGTCTGTCCTGTTTTCAAACCTAGCGCTTTGTGCTTCCTTCAGGAAGTAAACACCCGTGTTATGTACGGCACAGATATAAAGATCGGAAGGGTGGATGGGAAGTCAGTGAGAGGAAAAAATGGAATTCAGGTCTGATTTCATCACTCATTCTCCCTATTTCACCTCTCTCTGTGTGCAGGGGGATTCTGGAGGGCCGCTGCAGTGTAAGCAGGGTTCCGTTTGGGTCCAGGCGGGTATAACCAGTTTCGGAGTTCCCTGTGCAGTAGGATTTCCAGAGGTTTTTGCCCGTGTGTCCGAGTTCCAAACCTGGATCACACAGAACACCGCCGGATCCAGCGTCGGCTTTGTGACCTTCTCGTCCACCGGCACCGACACAGACAGCAGCTATGTTTGCCCTAATACTACAGCGAGCTCAGCCGCTGCCACGCCCAAGGCCTCCTTGTTCTCCAGCCTCCTTGTCCTCCTCTCCAGCCTCATTCCATCTGCATTTCTCACACTCACCTTCTCAGGGGTCCACTGACCCATTTCTGCTCTTCTCAGCGTGGTCAGACATGACCAATAGTGATATCACTTAGCCTAGTTAGCACCACTGTTAGCTTGTCTGGTTAAAGGGCCCATGTTCTACACGTTTCTTATATTTTTATCCTTCCCTCTAATGTCCTCTCATAACATTTGTTTGGTTTTTATGAACCAAAAAACAGTTGCAATTTATTTTACATGATCTTTTCCCAACCGTTCTTTATCCCTTAGAATTAGACAGACTTACTGTAACTTTAAGACTCAGATAGGTAAATGACATTTGTTCTGATTGGCAGCCCTGTATTGTGCTTCACTGTAAAAGCAGTCTGGCCTGAAACTCTCCTTATAATTTCAACTTGAATGAAGGGATTTACACCGATCAGGTATAACATTATGACCTCCTAGTTTCTACACTCATTGTCCATTTTATCAGCTCCACTTACTATATAGGTGCACTTTGTAGTTCTACAGTTACAGACTGTAGTCCATCTGTTTCTCTGATACTTTGTTAGCCCCCTTTTACCCTGTTCTTCAGTGGTCAGGACCCCCATGGACCCTCACAGAGCAGGTACTATTTGGGTGGTGGATCATTCTCAGCACTGCAGTAACACTGACATGGTGGTGGTGTGTTAGTGTGTGTTGTGCTGGTGCGAGTGGATCAGACACAGCAGTGCTGCTGGAGTTTTTAAGCACTGTGTCCACTCACTGTCCACTCTATTAGACACCCCTACCTTGTCAGTCCACCTTGTAGATGTAAAGTCAGAGACGATAGCTCATCTGCTGCTGCACAGTTTGTGTTGGTCATCCTCTAGTCCTTCATCAGTGGTCACAGGACGCTGCCCACAGGATGCTGCTGGCTGGATATTTTTGGTTGGTGGACTATTCTCAGTCCAGCAGTGACACTGAGGTGTTTAAAAACTCCAGCAGCACTGCTGTGTCTGATCCACTCAGACCAGCACAACACACACTAACACACCACCGCCACGTCAGTGTTACTGCAGTGCTGAGAATGATCCACCACCCGAATAGTACCTGCTCTGTGAGGGTCCATGGGGGTCCTGACCACTAAAGAACAGGGTAAAAGCGGGCTAACAAAGTATCAGAGAAACAGATGGGCTACAGTCTGTAACTGTAGAACTACAAGTGCACCTATATAGTAAGTGGAGCTGATAAAATGGACAATGAGCGTAGAAACAAGGAGGTGGTCATAATGTTATGCCTGATCGGTGTAAACTGATGTAGGCTGAATAGGTGAATATATGTAATTGTGTTTTTTGTGACATTTTTGTGACATTCTTCTAATTCTCCTAAATTTCTGCATAAGTAAACTGTTAAGATGTAATCAAAGCCGTTCAGAGTGGTTTGGTGTGAAACGCTTCATTCTAGAGAAACTTAGAGTCAGAATTGTTCACAGTGGTGGTGATAGGAACCAGACGTCCACCTCTAAAAGCTCGCTCACAGAAAGTTACTACAGTAAATGGTTATGAATTCACCGTCTAATGTCTTTCACGATAGTCTTTAAGGATGGAATTCCCTTTTTTTATTACCAAAGATTTAGATACTCTATTAACAAGGCTTAAAGGGGAATTCCACCAATTTTTCAAAATTTCTGCATAGTTCCATAGTTCAGATGGAAACACTCAGAAAAAAATCTAAAAAGAGGTCTCTTTAAAGGGGAGTTCCACTGATCTCCCAAAACTTCTGCATAATTTAGTTGCTGAGATTTAAACTGAGAGATGTAGAGCGGTTTGGTGCGAAATGGTTCAGATGTCTTTACAGTGGTGGTGACAGGAACCAGGGGTCACCATGACTACAACACAAATATAGACATTTAATTTACTATCCAGAACCACCAGTGAACCTACACGAGTCTTCTGAGTTTATATGGAATGTTGATGATGGGAAAATAGTGATAACGTTTTCTTCAGGGACTATTTTTCCTCATAATGCCCCATATGTATCCCTCCACCATGAATTGATTTTAAAAATGTGTTTACTCAATACTGCAAAGTGTCTCAGACATCAGGCAGTGAATTCATAACCATTTCATGTAGTAACTTTCTGTGAGGGAGCTTTTAGAGGTAGACGTCTGGTTCCTATCACCACCACTGTGAACAATTCTGACTCAGCAAGTTTCACTAGAACAGAGCGTTTCACACCAAACCACCCTGAACGACTCTGTTTACATCTTAACCCTTTAATTATGCTGAAATTTTGATGGAAAAAAATTGATGGAATTCCTCCTTAATTTTTCTCCAGAATGAAGCATTTCACACCAAACCCCTCTGAATTATCATGGTAAATCTTAACAATTAAATCATGCAGAAATTGAAAAATCAGTGGAATTCCCCTTTGACTCTTTCCAAGTATCTGTTATTCTCACGAGGAGGATAGCTCATCTACTGTGCTATATTTTAAGCTAAGGAGAAGTACGTTATCTGTCTGAAACTGCACGAATTCTCTCACGTGACACATCAGGGGGGCCAAAAATGGGACTCCCACCTGATGAGTGGGCGCCAGAATTAGGAGTGATCTTACTGCCTGCTTCTGTTTTAGATTCCTGCAACTGTAACCAAACCAACCAAACCTTTTGCAACACGTAAAGTTTCTTTTGTGTCACGAATTCGGAAGTGTTTTTTAATTTTTTTTTCTGAATATATCTCAAAACCACATTTCTCACAGTGCAGCACTGAAATGGAATGAACCACAAACCACGTGTTGGTGAGTTAGTTCTATTTATTTTGTTTTAGTCCAACACAATGTGTACATATGAAAAAAGGAACTGATGTCACACCTAAAAATAAGGGAGGGGTCATGAAGCTGACTTCGTCTCATCTTTATGAGAGATCATCTGAGTTTCTCTCTCTCTCTCTCAAGGCACCATTAGGCCTCTTTCACTGCGCTAAACGGTGGAGGGAGGACCGATGTTGGAGAGGTGCGCTGAGAGCAGGTGGAACCAGTGGAAGCTCAGTTGTTTCTGTGGGGAGGAGGATTACGGGGGCACAGAAATGGGGGTCGTTCACTTTAATAAGCATGATTGGCCACGAACAGGGACTCTCCAGCTGCTGCTCCTGTACCGCTGGAAACGTATTTGCCGGTGGAAGCTGCACTGTTAGCCTGTAGGAAATGTGCATCAAAGAGAAAGATCAGCAAGTAAACTGAGTAGCATGTACATTTAAATAGAACCTGAGACGTTACAAAATCCTGACTCAGCAATGTTTACACTAATATCTCAAATCAGAAGATGAATCTAGATCAGTGGTCTGCAAAAATGATAAGTTTGAATGGGCCTGTATCATGGAAAACTGAACTGTCCCTCACATTTTAAAAATAAAACAGTGTGATGTTGTATGTCAACACTTAAAACAGGGTTTCTCAAGCACTGGGCCGAGGGCCACAAGTGGGCCACAAAGCACCCCTTGGACCTGTACTGAGGGGGTTCAGTGGTCTGCAGTGGGCCTGTGATGGCACTTTGCCATAAAAATCAGTGAAAAATAATTGACTTAACAATAAAAAGAGAAATATTAAATGTTTGACAGATAACAACATTAATACAAGCCCCATAATAACAGAGCACAAAGGCAGCTTCATCAAATTTTTTGCCCTTTGCCTCTAGAAACACCTGACCTTTCAGTTGTCCACTCACACCAGTATCCTGCTGATATTTCTTGCTCACTGATACACTTCACATATTGCAATAGCAGCCCCCCCCATATTTCCCCAAAATGACATTTGTCAGCAAAAACATTGAGTTTTGTTTTCTTGTGGGCCTTCATGCTTTCTAGTGATAAACAGGTGGGCCTTGAGTTGGAAAAGGTTGAGAACCCCTGACTTAAAGTGCTTTCCACAGTCCATGTCTGGAAGCTAAATCATGTTTTAAATTCACTGGTTTTGTGATGTCACACATTTTACACACATCCAGCCTCTATCGGTTCAGCCACCCCATTCATGCTGAAGTTATAAGCAGTGTTTCAGCCTGGACTTCCTTTTGAATGAGGCAGTGTGCTTTAGCAATAGCTACAAAACAGCTGCTGAGATAGCCAAGCTAGTTTTAGCCTAGCTGATAATTGCTAAAGCTAAGAGCAGAACGCCATTAAGACAAGCTTTATTTTATTTTAATATTTGCAATTCCTTCCGCCAAAAAAGTAGTGCTCTTTTGCATTACATATAGAGCCATAAAAGTGTCGCAATATCAGGTTCAGCTCAGCTTTTTCAATACTTCTCAGATTAATCTGATTCTGGTCTTCAGATAAAACTAAAAATAATGGTCTTCAGTCATCCAAGTTGCTTAGAAACAAGTGCAAATAAGAACGCATGGAATTACGTACGAAGGTGTGTCATACGACATCAAAACGAGCGGTGAGCTCAATCATGAATCAGCCACAGTGAAGAGAAACAATGTGTTGTGGTGATGTTGTGAAAGTGAGCCATTAAAAGAAAAGCACTCAGGCAGCTCATGAGCCAATGCTGTGCTCTTAGGCCGAGTTTGGGGGAAGTAAAGGAGCGTAAACAGAAGAACTGAAAAGGATAAAATTTTGTTAATTTTATTCTCTCATTTCTATTATAATGTTCATCATTATTTTCTACTTTTATTGATCATAAAACTGCTCATAAAATTCAGGTTTCACTATTACGCTCAAATTTTCAAGCTCTTCTGCCCAAGTGAGTTTGATATAAAGATACACAGAAGGTGAAACCGGTAAATAACGCCAGTCTGTGACTTATTTTACGATGAAATTTGACCATGCATGAATACGGGATGATATGAAGTAGTAATTGTAATAATATTACATGGTTCTCTAATCCAGAACGCTGGTCTACATACCAAAGCTCTCTTGATGAACTCCTCCTGGCAGGCCTTGCCATTTTCCTTCTTTCCTCCCCAGGCCTTGAGGGCAGAGGCCTGCAGGGCGCGGCCGTAGGAGAAGGTGAGGGCCCAGGGTTTGTGCAGGGGACACTGGTTAATGGCGTTCAGGTTGACTGAAGCCTCTTCCTCACTCTGGCCTCCAGACAGGAAGGTGATGCCTTTGGAGAAAGAGATAGGAACAGTTAGTTTCTCTGAGTGTGTTATTAATGTGTAATGGACACTGTATGGTCTCTGGGCCATGAATGTTGTACACTACTCTTCAAAAGCCTGGAATGTTTTTCAGCACCACAGAAACCAGTATGGCTACAGATACACGATTAAAATCATTCTAATATTCTAGTTTTGTGCAACTTCACAGGTTTCAAATAGTTAGTAGCACACTAGTAAGCTGTAAAATGTGGTTCGATAAACGATAAAGAGCTGTAGATGACCATAAAAAGACTGAAAAAGCTGTACATCAAGAAAACAGTTATATAAAACAGTGTCTTTGCTATCTAGTTTACAATATTTTAAGTCACATTACTATCATATATAAAAAA